AAAGGGTAGAGAGTCCAAGAATTGCACTACGTGTGAAAGCCATTTGTGTCTGTGGACAAGGCGATAGGAAATGTTGGAGAAGTTCTGAAAATACTGCTAAAGGTTGGGAGCCTCAGAAAATCTTTCATTTCCACTTTACTTTTACTGTGAATGTACTTTAAACCCTTTTCTTTTCAAGGAAACCCAGCATCTCAAGGGTTTAATATGGTAACTCGGCCATTCGACCAGACGAAGTCAGTCTGGTATAAACCAAATCTGAATATTACTATAACAATATCTAGACTCTCCTTCTCCGAAGGTAAAGGGCTTCTGTTAACCTGGTGCTCAGTCAGCTCTTCTGCCTCACCCTGCACTTCCTTCTCTGGTATTTGCTGCTCTAATACAAAAAGATCTCTGTACCATTCTACACAAGAACCAAGTACCTTCTCATTCTTCCCCTTCAAAGCTCAGCTATCTGGCTAGTGTCCCAACTTTCTCACATGTGACATCTACCTTTTACCAAATTGAGAACAAAGTGCACCCACGTGTGTTTAAGCATACAACTGTTACCTCAGAGTTAAGTAGATGTCTCTGATGGCAAAGAACTAATACAATTCTTCTGTCAGGTACGCTGGGACTTGAATTGGCCCAGCAAGACTAATGCCTGGGCGACTGGCAGACCCAGTAACATGTTGTTGCAATGAAGGAGGACAACCTTTGATTCTTTCCAAGGTCTTCTACGAACGGTAGAAGGCCAAGCACTGTTAATAATTGGGAGAATGGAGAGTCTTTTGATAATAGGCCTGTAACCATCTATGCTAGAAAACAGCAGATCAAGTACTATTGAAAACATTACTAAATCCTCGGAGTAATTTGTATGGTGCCTACAGATTGTTCCAATAATACATGTTTAACATCCTCAATTTGCAGTCATTATTAGAATTGCTCCTAATAAAAGCGACGATCACATTAATCACAAGCTTGAACTTGAGGTCTGTCTTGCGAAACAAGACTCATACTCAGACTAATGCATATTAAAGCGCTACCTTTGGGAATAGTTTTCTTTGCATTATTTTGCTTAGCAAAGTCTCTGTCATGTCCAATCTTCAATTTGTCACCAATATTTTGTTTCTTTGCCTAAATCAAAAGCATTCTGGGGAGCTTGCTGGGTTAATGTTGCTGCTCAACAACAACAACTGAGAAGTTAAGCCTCAACTCTATCTTCTCCCCGGCAGGATTCTGGGCACAAGACAGTTTGTTTTCCTAGTACAGTATTTCTCAAATACTTCTCATGCCATGATAAACAAAAGATTATACAATCTACTTGGCATACTGGTGACCTTCACCGGTTGCCTCCAGGTACCCTAAAAGCTCAAGAATCAGTGTTACAGTTCAGACGAATAACCCCTCCTGTACAGTAGTTCACCTTAGCATTTACAAAAATGATTAGCTGCAAAAATGAAAGTAAAGGAAGGGAGGGAGGGAGGGAGGAAGGGAGGGAGGGAGGGAGGGAGTGGGGGATAGAGGGAGGGAAAAGATTAACTGCAACAATTCAGAAACACCCATTGGTTCTTAGCAACACAAGTTCCTAAGGTTGTAGAAGACCTACCAGTTGTGGTCACTTTTTCTGACGTTATGGAATATGGGAAACAAAAAGATGGGAAAGAAATAAAGGCACACTTATACCTCAAAGAAAATAAAACCATTCAGACAACTGAGACCGAGACTTTTAAAGTTCTTTTCTATTGGGCATGATGTCAGCACAGCTGCTGCAATCACAGTATTTGTCATTTTAAAAAACAAGGTCCTTGTGAACAGATTAAGGCCTAAATCTGCATGGTCTGGCACATCAGCCACACGTGGGCAACTGAGCACTTGAAATGTCGCTACTTGAATTAAGATGTGCTGTAAGTGTATAATACACACCAGAGTTTCAAATAAAGAATGTAAATAAATGAAATGTAAACTAACTCATCATGTATTTATGTTGATTACAGGATGAAAAACAGATTTGGCTACTAGAAAATTTTACATGACATATATGGCTTGCATTTGTGACGCACGTTATATTTCTACTAAATACCACCGGTCTAAATTCAAAGCTTGAGTTCCCCCCAGACTGGTTATGTTCATGTGGATAAATCAAGGAGTGCCTGTATTGACCTTCCACAAAAGACTTTTTGGGTGGAAGGCAGAAAAAAAGAGGAATTCCATGGCTTTAAAAGATTAATAAAAGCTTAGAAACTACTTACTTAAGCTTTTAAAAGGACTTCACAACTATCTTACCTGGTGTATTCGTTCTTGGCTGAGTAACTTCAGTAGTGCTGTGAGTCAGAAGTTCTGGTCTGTAAAAATACAATTGACATCAGGATGAGAGCTTTTAAGCCCCCCTTAATTTCCAGTGTGGTTCACTCTACCTTCATCTGCAGTGACAATATCATTTTGGTGACTTTAATTATTCTTAAAGTAGCAATTTACAAAGATTCAGGTGGAACCACCTGTATGTCCTCAAAGGAATTTTAAGCTTAACTTGTGCAAAACAGTTGTGTTTTGCCCCAAAGCAGTTCGACCTCCTGTTTCTGAAACTTCAGATGAACTAGAGCACAACACAGGTAGATATATCTAGCTATGTCACCCTAAAGCGTGCCCCAACAAATAGACATATAAACGCACAACCCCCAATCAGCAAGCAAATTCTGTCCCAACGATAATTCTTCTTTATTAAATGGGACTTCTGTTCCCACTCCCTGCCCTCAAATTACCCATTCTGCTAGCCTTCATACTCAAGCCAAAATAATACTCTTAAGGTCCAATTCAAATTATTTTCAGAGGAATCAGCTTTAAAACCCCTTCAATACTCTGTGAAGGACAGAAAGCCTTCCTCCACTGGGCCATCTCAGTCTGTCTATCATGCTATGCCCTCAAGGTCATCAATCCTTCCATACAGAATGGTGTGGTTAGCCGAACATTCGAGTACATCTGACACCTCCCTGCGCCTACCTACCTATGTTATTTCCTTTATTTGAACCCCCTTCTTGCGTTCTCTATGCACAAGTGACCAAACTGCATGCCACCCTTGCCTTCTCCCCCAGTGTTCAAGTAGCACTTTACTGCACTGATCTATATAATAAGCCTCCCAAGGACAGGATTCCTGTTGGACCCAATTTTGTACATCTGGTGCCTGGCACTGCATAGACACTTGCTCAAAAAATGAATCTAAATGTAATACCTTAATCTTAAATATGGAGAGTAAGTCCAACTGGGAAGGGGAAAAGCCCATTTTTATAAAATTAATTTTTTCTTAATGACAACATTAAATCTGTTTCTGCAAATTATAATCCTACCTTTTAATAACAAATTTAATTCGATTGCCCACTTGAATAATTTTTTCCAGCCTTGGGATTCCATACCACGAGGGACTTCTAAAAGGAATGTTTTCTGGTAGTCCTTCCACATAGAGGTCATGAGGATGTGCTTCAAATTTCTGGTAAGGTACAGCCTTGGCTTCGGTGCTCCCTAAGGCTTCAGCTTTATAGAAGAAAAGCAATTCAAAAGACTGGAGACTAAGTTTCTGCTGAAATCATATTTTATTACAATCCACAGCAAAGTATATGTCAACTTTTTAAAAAGCAAAGTATACTCTGAAAATATCAACAGCAACTACTGAAATAGACTTAATACAGCAAATGCAAATATTAAATGACCCATGATCAAGAAGTAACTTTTGGTGAATTTAAGTTTCCTGATACTAAGGCCATCGTAATAGCTCTAAGATCTTATTTCTATGTATTCTTTTTGAAAAGATATTTATTTGGCTGCGCTGGGTCTCAGTTGCGGCATGCGGGATCTTTAGTTGCAGCATGCATGTGGGATCTAGTTCCCTGACCAGGGATCGAACCCGGGCCCCATGCGTTGGGAGCGTGGCGTCTTAGCCACTGGACCACCAGGGAAGTCCCTCTAAGATCTTATTTTTAAAATTCTCAGTATCTTTGAGAATAAATAAAGAGAAGAAAATCATGACCAACAATAAAGAGTGCAACTTAAATACTACTTTTTCAAATATCCAGAGGCAGACTTTTGCTACTTAATGCTTCATGAGTACAATAAACTTTTTATTGGCTCTTGCACACTAACTTACTTCAGGCTATACTTTTATCTGTATTGCAACCATAAGATTACTGTTCTTTACCCCTTAAACCTCATCAGTGTACCATTTGCCAAGGAAATAATTCATGGAATGACAAATAAAAATAGTAAGCAGAGGCTGGTTTAGATTAAAAGAGACATATCAAGCAAAATTAAGGCACGAAACTTTATTGTTTAAATCCAGGTTCAAAGCAAAAACTTAAAAGACACTTTTCAAATAAATACTTTTCAGATAAATGAGGAAACTCAATGAAGGACTGGATAAGAGCAAAGAGACTGTTAATTCTGTCAAGTGTGATGAGGACACTGTGACTGTGTTTAAAACGTCAATGTTGGGACTTCTCTGGTGGCGCAGTGGCTGGGAATCCACCTGCCAACGCAGGGGACACGGGTTCGATCCCTGGTCTGGGAAGATCCCACACGCTGTGAAGCAACTAAGCCCGTGCACCACAACTACTGAGCCCGTGTGCCACAACTACTGAAGCCCGTGCACCTAGAGCCCATGCTCTGCAACAAGAGAAGCCACCACAATGAGAAGCCCGTGCACCACAACGAAGAGTAGCCCCTGCTCGCCGCAACCAATGAAAGCGCGCACGCAGCAACAAAGACCCAACGCAGCCAAAAATAAAATATAAATAAAAATGTTGTTCAATGGTGCACACTGAACAAGGAAAATGACACCATGCCTGTGATATGCTTTATTAAATTCCTACAAGGGGAACGAAAGAGGAAAGGATGAACAAAATGTGGAAAATCTTAAACATCACTGATTACAAAAATGGGTATATGGGAATGCACTGTACTATTTTTCTACTTTTGAATAGGTGTGGCATTGAAATTTTAAAATGTAAAAATGTAATTACTAACCCCTACTATGAAGCCACATCCAAACAGAGCTTGTAAGAAGAAAGATCCAAACAATTTACAAAATATCAGCATTTATAGTCTCCCTTGTATTCTGTGTTACATTTAAATATTTTACAATCTGATGGTTGAAAAAAGAGTGGCTCCTTGAAGAATCTGCATTTCTTTGATTGTTAATTTGACTTTCCTCTCAAATTCAAAGGCCTTCTGTCTTAATTTCTTCCTTCATTTCATTAGCACCAAATCTGAAGGGCTCAAGTATAGGATCTCTTTGATAAAAGTAAGGAGTGTGTATTTGAAAAAAACAAATACAATGTAATTTAGATCACGGCTGTTACAAGAAATATTCTCTTTTAAAATATGGTAAAGGCTTTCACATTCACACCTGGGAGTAATATTAATTGTAATTATTCTGTTAAATATAACAAAAAAGAACATAATCCTAATTCTAACAAACTTTCTATAAAATAGAAAAGAACCAAACTGTTGGAATTGAGAGAGAAACAGCACAAGTTACAGAAAAGAGGAAGGCCAAGTGCATTAGTGTTCATCACATCATCTACGAGGTCTCCCCTATATTAAGTAACCAACCCTCTGTCTCCCTATCCCTCTCATTTTGCTTAATTTTTTCCTGAACACTTAACACCTTCTAATATACTGCATATTTACTGGTTGCTCTGCTATGCATATTTCCCTAAGTTATAAATGAATGCTTCCCAGAGGAAGCATTCACCATCCTCTGTGCTGCTGAGTTCTCAGCACCTGACACATAGGGGGTTCACAGGTGCTGAATGACTATGCTGCTGCTGCTATACAACTTTCAAGACTTGTGTCTGATATGATAGACAATCTTATGTTTTCTTCTTTCCCTTTCAGTAACCTTAAAGAAAGCAACAATTCTGCTGGCTTTTCACTCTCTAAAGTAACTCCAGTCCCAAATGGCCCACCTGAGGCCACAAGCAGGATTTTGCTGTTTGTAATGTAACAATATGTAAACTCTTATCTATTTTCTTAGCTCTGATGCAATGAGAAAATATTTTCTGCAGGCCAATTTTTCTTTCTATGAGTACACTATCTCACACACAGCTTTCTCCTTCCATGAGGGAAAAGTCATGGGTGCCATGGCTGGCTGGCAGGCAGTCACCCATGATCTAATAGGATTGGCTGTTTCTTACCCCAGGCTGAATTTCTAGAACTAAATGTGAGGCTAAAGTTTAAGCTTGTTAATGTAGATGCACATTATCCTATGTCAGCTACTCATGAATTATGATTATGACGACACTATGGTGGCATCTCAAATGACAAGGTTCATAATCTTATTTCACTAAATGTCTTGGAAATATAATGATTTTTAAAGTGGTGAAGATTCTCTAGTTTATTGTTCATTAGCTGATTTCTGACCAGATGTACGAGGAGATACATTTTCATTAAGGTCCTGCATTCATGTTGGGTGGTCAAGGATACTGATGAGGAAAAACTTACACTCTGACTTTTTCTCAAGGCTCAGTAATTTCTCAGTAATTTTTAAAAAACTGTTCCATGTATTTTTATTTTTTAATTAAAAAAATTTTTTTTGAGTCACACTTTTATTTATTTGTTTGTTTGTCGAGGGGCATGTGTGATCTTAGTTCCCTGACCAGGGATCTAACCTGTGCCCCCTGCTTTGGAAGGGCACAGTCTTAACCACTGGCCCGCCAGGGAAGTCCTTCTGAGTAATTTTTTTTTTTTTTGCGGTACGCGGGCCTCTCGCTGTTGTGGCCTCTCTCGTTGCGGAGCACAGGCTCCGGACGCGCAGGCTCAGCGGCCATGGCTCACGGGCCCAGCTGCTCCGCGGCATGTGGGATCCTCCCGGACCGGGGCACGAACCGCATCCCCTGCATCGGCAGGCGGATTCTCAACCACTGCGCCACCAGGGAAGCCCCCTTCTAATTTTTAATGACACTGGTCCATTCAGTATTTGTTGAGTATCTGCCCAAGCACCAAGCACTGTTCTACTAATAGCCGAGAGACAAGATCTGGGCTGCTGTTTGAACTGTGTTGTAGTGGAAGGAAAAAGGTAGCCATTAGTGCTTTAAGAAAAATTAAAGGGTGATGACGTACAGTGTGCTTCGTGGTTTATGTTAGAAGGGTAGGCAGTAAAATCTGGCTGCTTTGGGGCGTTGACTTTGACTACAGTGACAGACAGCAGTGAAGAAGAAAAAGATATGGATTTGCAGTGTGTGTTTTAAACGTAGAGTCAGCAGGAGGCCTTGTGGAAATGAAGAAATCAAGCGTGACTGCTAGGGGGTTTGGCTTGGAAGACTAGGTAGAGTGTGGTGCCACTGGGAGGACTGGGAAAGGAACATGCTGGAGGGGGAATCAAGGGCTCTATCTAGGACCTGTGAAGTCTGAAGAGCTGTCAAACGGCTGGGTGAATATAAAGGTGTGGTGTAAGAGGCGTTTTCAGGGCTAGAAACTTGAATGTGAAAGTCATCGGGAATATAGACAACACACTGTTTTTTAGATAGAGTGGGACTAACTGTGGAGGGCTCAGGACTGAGCTGTAGAGTAGCACCCCAAAATTTAAAGAATGGACTCAAGGGAGGTACCGACAAGAGAATGAAGAGGACAGCCAATAAGACATGAAGAAACCCAGGAACAAACCAAGAGTCAATTAACGTTTGAAACTTTCCGTAAGAATAGTTTAAAATGCTTAAGAAAGAAAAAAAAAATAAGACAACTATGTTGAACGCTGCTGAAAAGTACAATAAAGCAAGGGAGTTACTTGTGGTAACAAAAGATGTTGCAATGATAAACCAAACCTGAGTATTTTAAGTGTTTAGGGATGCAAGCACAGTAAGCACTACAAACAAGACAACCAAAACACTGCTAAGCAGCCTGCCTTCCAGGGACAGACTGCTACTGGTGGTTCCCTATATGCCACTGTGGTACGCTATTAAAAGGTACGAAGACAATAGGATTCCCAAACTGTGAAATGCCCTGTGCCGAATAACCTGTACAACAGTATAAATAACTTAGTCAAGAGTACGTGGGTTTTCATTACAATATTCTCTTCCCTTCCGTACAGATTTAAAACTTTTCATAGTATACGTTAAAAAAGCAACAATAAAAAAAAACTGGAGATGAGTCATCCATTGTATTTACTTTCTTAAAGCAAAATCTGGAAAAGTTATTCTGTAATATACTTTAGCTAGGGGGGAAAATTAAACTTACCAAATTTTTTGCAGAAAAGCTGATCTACCATCTTTCGTAACTTAGTGATTCTGGCATACCACTCTTCTTTTACTGTAAGGGTAATATACACAAATTCTTCAATTTGATGACATTAATAAATTATTAAATGTTACTAAATAAATTACTAAATAGGTGGTACTGTTTTTCTGTTCTAACTAAAATTACTTCTAAGATTTTAGAATGTGTTTATTAAAACAGTGCCGACATTGAATAAAAAGTGTAAGAACTAACGAAACAATAACAATGAAAATTCACAATTAATAGTAATTTTACAGAGATACACTGAAAGTGTCACCAGTAAAGCTAGGAAATAGAATTCATTTTACTCAAGATCAGCTAGCAGGTGATTTTTGTGATGATAAATTTGGGGCCACAATAATGCTGGCAATCCTTTCATTACACCAACTCTAAGTGATGCAATTTCCATTTCATATCCCCACCCTACTCCCTCCACTCCAGAGCAAAAGCAACTAAGAGAACAGATCATGATTCGATTTCTTTCAAAACGCATCTAACCAACAAGTGATGATGCCCATGGCTACGTACTCTAAGAAATAAGTCTTTTTAACTCCTGGGTATAATGATGGATGATCATTCAACTGATACTAATACAGACTAGGATAATAAACTGTTCAATACATTATGCCAGAAAAATTTTGCATCTCAAAAATAGAACAGACATGGTCCTTTTATAGTTTATCCAGAAATGTGATGTTTACATTTATTTATAATGGGTTACTAAAAACAAAATGGGTTTATTATTCTAGAGAATCCTGGACAATATTCCTTGTACATCATGTTCTGATTTGACATACAATTTGACACAAGTCTGGAGACCTACCTCCTGAAGCTGGTTTATCAAGCTGTAAGTCTTCACGTGTTGAATTCAAAAGTTCATGTCTGAAAGGTGAGAAAAATTACTAAATATTTACCAGATAATATTCAGCAAAAGTAATAACTACTAGTACTTATGTCATATTCAGTCATCAAAGCCAGTTTTTAAAAGACAGCCTGAACTCTTGAGCACAACTAAATCCTAATTTCTTGAGACTTCCAGAGTAATAAAACCAAATGGTAACTGCAAATGGTTTCATGATGTGCTTCATGGAGCGTGTGTACGCGCGCACGCGTGCGCACACACACGCGCGCGCGCACACACACACACGAGTAAACTTTGTAAATCAAAGGTATTTCATAAAAGCGTAACACCAGGGCCTCCCTGGTGGCACAGTGGTTGAGAGTCCGCCTGCCGATGCAGGGGACACGGGTTCGTGTCCCGGTCCGGGAAGATCCCACATGCTGCAGAGCGGCTGGGCCCGTGAGCCATGGCCGCTGAGCCTGCGTGTCCAGAGCCTGTGCTCCGCAATGGGAGAGGCCACAATAGTGAGAGGCCCGCGTACCGCAAAAAACAAAAAAAGCATAACACCAAAGGAAGCAAACTGCAAACATTTTAAATGGGAGTCTTCAATTTTCCATTACATTCAAGACCACCTTACTTAAAAACATCTATAATCTGGTTATAAAAACCATATATATTTCAAAACTAACATTTGCAGGACAGTATACATGCTTCTAAAAAATTCTTCTGAATACACAAACACCCATAGAATTTTTACAATCTAACTTATGTATCCCGCCTCACTCTATTTTGTTGTAATATCCTGAAGTAACAGGGAAGTGGGGGGGAGACTGAGATCACAGAGAATCATGGCCATATACTAACCATAATCTTGAAAATGTTAGAAACTAATATAGGGTTAAGTCAATGGAAGAGCTGTGAAATAAAACATTTGCTGAAGTATAGCATTACCCTCCTACGTAAACATGTTAGTTTCTGTTTATCAAAACTAACCACATTAACCTTTGGGGAAAGGCTTACAAAGTCCCTTCCAAATGTGAGAGATGGCTTCCCATAAATAAGGACATTGAAAGGACTTGAACAGAACCTGCACAGCATGAGTACCTTGTGGTGAGCCTGCACAAACATTTAAATACCCAAAGATAGTTTTATATGCTTAAAGATCAGCAACCATGAGCAAAATCTGTAAAATTATTTGTATGTTTTCCTTAGTTATTCAAAAAAATTTTCAAAACTTCTAACAAATTAAAATGCAAGCACTGTAAGAAAATGACAGTACAAGAGTTCTTACAACAGGCTTATTAATATATCAATATGTAGGGGGGAAGGAGTGGTTATTTGATTCCTGACTAGAACTGGTGTCAGGGTTTTATAACAAGCCTCTCTTGTTTACCATTCAATTTCATGAGAGACTACGAAATATTCATTCATTCATTCATCCTTTCATCCTTCCTTCCTTCCTTCCTTCTCATTGCCTTGTTTCCTCATCTGTTAAAAAAAGTGTGGGTGATTATAAAGTGCTTGACTGTACTGGACACATCGGGTTGAATTGCCATTATGATTATTCTGACTTCAAAGCTTGCTCTCCACACCAGGGTGTCTCAAACTTTAATGAGCACTGGAATCACCTGGGATCCTCATCGCACGCAGGATGGATCCAGTAGATCTAGGTAGGATCTAAGATGTGGTGTCTCTGAAAGCTCCCCGCTGATGCCAATGCTGCTAGTCTGCATGGCTGCCTACCACGTTGTCTTGTGTAAGGAGTTTCACTTGAATTGCTCATAGAAAAATGGAGGACAAAATCTTTCAAACTACAAATTGTTTGAAAGAAAAATATCTCTTAGCAACAAGTTTCTCTGTGGAGGACAGCTCACCTATTACCTATGGTATTTCTTGGGTCCTTTTTATCCTTAGTTAAATCCTATCATTCCCTTATTTAATACCAATACAGAGGCAAGTCTGCTTGGTTATAATCTTTGATCAAGGTGTTTGTTAATTTCCCCACTTTCTCAACAGTATCAGAGCATTGCCAGAAAAATGAACATGAATACTTACTTCTGCAAATGACTATAATTCTGCTACTGTTATTGACTTTACTATTTACAGCCCAAAGATATGTGGGAAAAAATTAAATCAGTTATAATATGCATGTGACTCAAAAAGACCCATTCATATTAGAACTTAAAATGAAAGCCACATAATTCAGGGGAAGTGAACCCCGCCCCCACTCACTGAAGGGTGAGTGCTACATGGTGTACACCCATCATATCATGGTGCTGTCTTTCCCATGCCTGTGCCTGGCTGAGGAGTAAGCACTTGACATAATCCTAACCAAAGAGAAGTAAGGCCATATTCCAAGGTTTCCTTCTCTCAGAGAAACACAGGTAGCTACTGTCCCTCCTAGTAGACATGTCTGGCTGTGAGTTCTGGAACTATTGCATCCAGCTCACTAGTCTAAGGAAACTATCAACACAAGGAAGGAAGAATCTGGAAAGGAGCAGAAGCAGAGCCCCAAGTATCACTGTTTTATTTATTTTCTAATTCTTTGAACTTTTTTTTTTTGGCCGCACCATGCGGCATGTGGGATCTTAGTTCCTGACGGGGGCTCGAACCTGTGGCCCCTGAAGTGAAAGCGCACAGTCTTAACCACTGGACTGCCAAGTATCACCGTTTTAATCATCCTATCTCTGACCCCCTTGCTACGTGAGACAAGAATCTTACTGTAACAAGCCAATTTGAATAAGGGTTTTTGTTACTTGGTGCTGGAGACATCCCAACTGCTACCAAACCTCTTTCACGCTGCAATCTCTATTTGCTTTCAAGCATGTTTGGCTACAGAATTCAAGGTTCAAATCATTTCCAATTCGAACTTGGAAAGAATGACTTAATAGCGTTAAATCCATTACTGCTCAAATCAAGTATATGATATCTGCGTGATTTTCATTCTTTATGATGACATGGTCTTATTCTCTAGAACCTAATAATTTTTGTGTGTGTGTGTGTGGTACGCGGGCCTCTCGCTGTTGTGGCCTCCTCCATTGCGGAGCACAGGCTCCGGACGCGCAGGCTCAGCGGCCATGGCTCACGGGCCCAGCCGCTCCGCGGCATGTGGGATCTTCCCAGACCGGGGCACGAACCCGCGTCCCCTGCATCGGCAGGCAGACTCTCAGCCACTGCGCCACCAGGGAAGCCCTAGAACCTAATGATTTCTACCTTTATCCTTAGGACACTGAAACTTTATGAAATGTGACCAGGCATATATATATCTTTGTTTTCCTCTCATATCCTTTCTCATGTCTCATATACACAATCATCTTTACAGTTTATAATACTAACAATCTTTTAGCCCTTTCATTGAAAATTTTAGTTTAGCAATTATATTTGATAATTTCCTAGACAACTATTCTCCAATTGTTCCTGTTTACAAATGCATCCAATACTTGCTTCATGCATCTAATAGAAAGTTTTCACATATCAACATTTGCTGAAATGTTGATATATGCCCTCTTAGTTTTTTTAAACTTTTATTGTAATCTTAATAGAATTTTAGTCAGTAGAAATTATGGAAATGTGTGATGTGGCTGCCATTTTTAAATGGAAGCATTTACACTTCCAATTGCTGCACATAAATTTTTTTTTAAAGCTCCTTGCTACAACCCTTACGTCAGTGCTAAAGAATTTATAGCATTCTGCTATTTTTTTCCTTTTCATTCTTACTTCTATTGTTTATTTTTATAATCGACTTTATTTCCACCTATGGTTTTTAAAATTCAGGCCTAAAAAAACAAGACACTGATACTTCAATATTTTCTTTAGCATACTGTAAAAGAAAATAACGGTGGTATGCCAGTCAGGCACGGACAGGTGTTCATACTCCAAAAGCCAACCCTGGCATAACTGACACAGACACACTGAAAAGTAGAAATAAAACAACATATAATAACTCAAACTTAATTGAAATATAGCCCTAGTGGTTAGTGAGTATTTGTCAACAATATAAAAAGATGCACTAATCAAGAACAAAGACCAAAGTCCAAGAGTCTTACTTCTTTATCACAAAACGAATCCTTTCCTTTGCAAGTAATATCCTCTCAAGGCGAGGAATTCCATAAGTAGATGGCCTTCTAAAAGGGATTCCTTCCGGAAGTCCTTCTACATAAAGATCTTCCACGTGGGACTGGAAAAGAGGGTACGGGATCGTCACAGGACCTTTGGCTTTTATAGCTTGAGCTTTAAGGGTAAAAAGAGAAAGGGAAAATTATGAAATGACAAGGATTAAGCAGAGTTTGTAGAAAAGAATAATAATCGAATACATACATATTGCTTTGTAACTTTTATTATCACTGAATCAGAAGCAAAATAGTACAGAAGAACTAAGAGGAAAATAACACCAAAGATGCCAGCACTCTACTTAGTCAAAACTGCAACGAAATAATATATTATTTTGAAATAATGTAGATATAGGCAGACTTTCTACTCAAATCTGAACCATAAATGACCCCAGAAAAATATACCAGCTAATTCCAGCTAATACATAGAGCATATAATGAGAAGTAATATTTTAAAAACATAAATGTCCATGTAAAAAGGATTTTTTAATAAAATAACTGAAGCAGAACATTTTTCTGAACTGTAAAAATTCTAAGATTCATTTACCGAGAGTAAAATAATACAACAACTGCAACAAGCCAAATGCACAAGGAATCTTTAGAATCAAATACAATGAACAGACTTTGATAGTTTTATTAAACAAACTACAAAGAGTCTGTTTTTCTAAACAATAGGGGACATTTAAATATCACTGGGTATTAAACAGTGTAATGTTTTTAGGTGTGACAATGGAACTGAGATTAAGACAATGCATTCCTCTCACCCAACTTGGAATTTTACAATTTAGAGTTTTGAGAGGTGAAATGACATGACGTCTTGGACATCAGAGTTTTAAAATGTTCTTGCATCACAAAGAGGACAGGAAAGAACAAGAAAAATATTATAAAATATTAAACACTGTTGAACTTGGGTGATGGATATTTAAATAGAGGGTCTTTGGAAGTATGAATTTCATAATAAAAAGTTTTAAAAAGCATCAGTTTACGTTCATCTACAACACAAGCACATTTTTAGCTAGCATTAAAAATTGCAAACATTTTGATACTAAGTAAAGCAATGCCAAATTCTCCATGACTACATAGCAAACACCACTAATTCTTTCAAAGGTTTCTAGTTCATGTAATTAACATATAGCACAGTTATATAAACTGCTTTCCAGTGAACAGAACAGCACAGATGCTACTGACCTTGCCAGAAAGGTTCCAAAGCAAAAATGACTACGGTGGACTCCCCTCAGCCCCTGCTCCCTCAGGAATCACCTCTCAGAACAGGTCCAATTTTTTGCTGGTATTTTATGTAAAAGTTTATTTGCTAAACATTAATCTTTGTACTCAAGTTTCAAGTGTACCATATTACACATTAATTCTGAGTTAGATTTAATATCCTTTGTTGATAAACTACATCTGAAAATCATATTCACATTAACAATGAAAATACCTTCCCCGAAGGCAATTACCATTAAAGATGCTTTGAAATTATGAAATGTGAATAGTTATTATAATTTCACAATGATTGGTAAACATTATTCTCTTATATGCAAAATAATCAAATAAATATATCACCATCACAACAGAAGTAAAAACATAACCTTTGCTTCTCTTTATGAGAAACACAGAAATTTATAAAACTGTGGTAAATAAATTACTTTTATTCATAATAGTACTAAATTAAGAATACAATAACAAAAATATAAACAGCAAGCATTTCTTACGTACTTACATCCCAAGTATTATAGGAAGCACTTCACAAGCACTATCTCATCTATCTCATCAAATCTTCAGAGTAGAGCTACAGTTCTCATGCCTTTCACAAATGGCTCAGAGAGGACTAAGAGAACATGGCCAGACAGTCTGTCCCCATAGCCTGTAATCTTAACCGCCACGTTATAGTGCTTCCATGTAGAAAGAATATGTTGTGAGTTTTTACTTTGAAATGGTCTAAATAAAATCACAGGCAATAGGACTTCCCTAGTGGTGCTGTGGTTAAGAATCCACCTGCCAATGCAGGGGACATGGGTTTGAGGCCTGGTCCGGGAAGATCCACATGCCGCGGAGCAACTAAGCCCATGCGCCACAACTACTGAGCCTGCACTCTAGAGCCCGCGAGCCACAACTACTGAAGCCCACGTGCCTAGAGCCCGCGCACTGCAATGAAGAGTACCGCTCACCGCAACTAGAGGAAGCCCGGATGCAGCAACGAAGACCCAACGCAGCCAAAAATAAAATATAAATACATTTATACAAATAAAAAAAAATAAAACAAAATCACAGGCAGTAGACTCTGACTACTGAAACATGGGAAAAATACTGAGAACCTTAAGAAAATAACTGAAAATATTAAAGAAGGGTTCCCTGGTGGCGCAGTGGTTGAGAGTCCGCCTGCTGATGCAGGGGACATGGGTTCATGCCCCGGTCCGGGAAGATCCCACGTGCCACGGAGCTGACCCGTGGCCGCTGAGCCTGCGCGTCCGGAGCCTGTGCTCCGCAGCGGGAGAGGCCACAACAGTGAGAGGCCCACGTACCGCAAAAAAAAAAAAAAAAAAAAAAAAAGTAAGTAAATAAAAAGGTACTGAATTCCTCATGAAGTCTACTCTAATTCTAGATCTTCACTGAGGACTGTTATAATCCGTGATAGGGAACACAGTTCAAGTTACTTAAATAATCCCAATGTGGTTTATCATTTTAAAACTTCACTTAAGAGGGGCTTCCCTGGTGGTGCAGTGGTTGGGAGTCCGCCTGCCAATGCAGGGCATACGAGTTAGAGTCCTGGTCCAGGAGGATCCCACATGCCGCAGAGCAGCTGGGACCGTGCGCCACAACTGCTGAGCCTGCGCTCTACAGCCGTGAGCCACAGCTACTGAGCCCACGCACCACAACTGCTGAAGCCCGCTCACCTAGAGCCCGTGCTCCGCAACAGGGGAGGCTGCTGCGGTGAGGGGCCCGCGCACCGCGGCGAGGAGTGGCCCCCCGCTTGCCGCAGCTAGGGAGAGCCCGCGCGTAGTGGTGAAGACCCAATGCAGCCAAAAGTAAAAATGGATAAAACAGATTTATAAAAAATTAAATTAAATTAAAAATTCACTTAGAGAAACTCAGTAATGCAGGACAGCACCACAGACTTTCAAGTTAAAATTCAGTGTATTATACAATTTTACAGCTTCGCCAGTCATTTGCAAAGAATTCTCCACATTTAAAAAACCCAACAAAACAGATATTTTAAAACAATTTTTGCTATTTCTAGGTGAGCATTTGATACCAGGTGATAATAAATCTTGTTTCTCTGATTACTATATAAAGGTAGCTATAGGACGGAATATTAAAATAAAAGGAAAAGAGAACTTGAGATCTAACAAACTCAGGTATCTATCGAGAGTAGGGAAAATAAAGGCATCTCGATGAATACTAGATTTAACACATCAGGTTTAAGGAAGACTACTGCTTAAGAAAACACTCTTCAGTTAAATCTCCAAGATTCAAGATTTTGCAACAAATATATAAATAAACTCCCAAACATGCATGCTGAAAGTTTAACGGAAATACTAATTGATAATTAAAGAAAGGAAAATTCTAAAGCTTTGTTGTGATCTGGAAAGAAAATTTCGAATATTTGGACAGACACTATCCACTACCTTCCCAGCGACAGATAAGGAAGGAAGGCACAAACACTGGTAGAATGGGCCTTGCTCGCATTAGGTGAACAGTAATTCCACTGTTAAAAAGCTTACGGACAAAACCTTACAGGCATTTCTGAGTTTAGACTTACCGTACTTTCTTTCAAACAACTCTTCAACTTGTTTACGCAGGTCAGTAATTCGAGCATTCCACTTCTCTGAAAATTGAGAGAAAGTTAAAACTCAATTATAAATCCCTGTTTGGAGGCACTAATATGTTCTTTTTTTTTTTTTTTTTTTTTTTGCGCCCTAATATGTTCTTAAGATGACCCAACATTTAACAACTTATTTTCTACATAACATATCCTGATTTTTAATAATCCACCTGTCTATATAATTTTACTGTTTTCCTAAGGACTTTATCTTTTTTGCGGTTCTTATAATTGGTTCAATGAGAGATTATAGGGTTTTTTAAAGATTATTTTCAGAACACTTCATACCGAGTACCTCTTTTTAAACTTATAAATTCCGAAAAGCAGGAGGGCAGAAAAGACCCATCAATTAAACACTACAAAGCGAGGCGAAAAAGAGAAAGGTCCCCAAGACTGTGCAGGAAACCTTCTAAAACATGTCTAAGTTGTACGGAAATAAAACTTTATATACAGTTGCAACTTATAATAGCATACTAAAGAATATATATAAACTTACTATATATATAACTTCAATTTATATTAATTATGACTAAGACAACTTAAAATATTAAAGTACTATTTAAAAAACGTATAAAGCTAAATGTACTATTTATTCAAAATATGGATCACAAACACATCTTGCCACTAATATTTTACTTAGTCCCTTCAAAAGGATACCACTGTGGTTTGATTAGATTAGAGGCCAGCAGTTACACAAAGCAAGAAAAATTAATATAGAAGTTATATCTGAAATAAAAAAGTGATCCAAATCTCAGACAAATAACTGAATTACTAAGTCATTAACACTGATTTTTAAGTCTACCTTTTTTTTTGGGGGGGGGGGGGGCCACATTACGGCTTGTGGGATCTTACTTCCCTGACCAGGGACTGAAGCCGGACCCCAGCAGTGAAAGCATCAAGTCCTAATGACTGGACTGCCAGGAAATTCCCTTAAGTCTACCAATTCTAGTTAACAACAGAAGATACAATATCTTATGCTTTGGTATACACAAACATGTGTAAGCAGTGTCTTTAAGGTTACTTCAAATTGTCCATGGCTTTCCTCAGCTTAGATTATAAGGCAGTAATATATTTAAGGCATCCTCCCCAAAGAATGCTGTAACTCTTCAGTAACAGAAAAAGTTCGGAAGGAAAAAAAAGAAAAGAGGACCACATTTAATTGACAACTTACCAAAGTTGAACTCCCTCACTTTCCGTTTGCCGGCATTGGCAGGTTCTGTGACTGGCGGCTGGGGAGGCTCATTGCTCTTTGGTCTCTTGGTAGGTGGAGAATAATCATCATCTTGAAAAAGAAAACTATCATCACTGGAGGAACAGTCTAAATGAGTGACAGCCACTGCCTGTAAAATTCTCAGCATTCAAAAGACGTGGGGGGATTTAAATATGACTGGGACAGCAACAGTTATTTCTGTATTGCCATTTTCAGCGTATTTTTTCCCAGTTACATCTCCAGCTTTCCTACTCTTTTCGAAGGTGCTCAAGTGAATAACCCTCATTTTCCTATGTCTTGCTCCTTTTTTTCAGTTTGCTTAATTTGAATTGTCATATAAATTTCCCCTTCTCCTCTCAGACAGCTGTCTAGAATTATAGTGTATTTTAAGTCTTCCAAGAAAAAGGTTTTAATGGAGACAGCTACCAACAACTATACAAATATATAAGAAAATGGGGAGAAAATATATCGTGAATGGAAAAATATTTAAGCTTATACAAAATTCAAGCATACATAAAGGAGGTTGGATAACTGTATGCTAAAAACTTTTAACAAACAAAACTAAAAGAAGTAAGATTATATTATTTGTGAAACAGATATTGTTGATTCATCCAATACAATACCCATGTATGTAGAAAATGAGCGATCATATATTTAATCACAGAATATAGACTACTCAAGAGTCTGTAGTAAGAGTCCTTTGCGGCTATGCCTGGAACTCAACTCTGCCGTGATACTGCAATACATCTGGTGCTAGAATAAAGGACACTGGATCAAGTAAGAAAAGCTATCAACTGTCATCTTCTTCTGGTCCCTGAAAATATCATTTGGCACACTACTGAGATTTCTGCTCAAACACCATCTATAAATTATTGAAAATACCATTTTCAGATATCTATACTTTTAAAAAATGTGGGATGAAGAAGAAAATAATTACTGGGTTAAAGGCAACAGCAGTAACAAAAAGATAACATAAGATACACTAAGTTCCCCTTTTCAGTATAATTTTCATTCTCATTTTATAGCTAAACAAACAAGATCAGAGAAAGCTATATGACTTAACCATGTCATATGCTAGACAGTGAAGCTGAGATGAAATTATGGGTATCATTCTTTTAGCTAAACAGGTTAACTCTCAAAAAACAATAAGAAATTCAAATTTAGCCTAATATACAATGATGCCTTGGACAGCAATGGATAACTTTTATATACTTTGTATGTTAATCAAGGAAAAATCTGACTAAAGCCTAAAATACTTAAATCTCATTCCTATCATAGCATCAGAGAACACAGACATGGCTGCCCTTGTTCACTGACTTTGGGTTCTTCCTTTACAGACAAAGCCTGTGGATACCAAAATCCACAGATGCTCAAGTCACTTATATAAGTTGGCATATGATTCACATACAACCTACGCACATCCTCCCTTATACTTTAAATCATCTCTAGATTACTTCTAATACCTAAGACAATGTAAGTGCTATGTAAATAGTTGTCTGGCACATGGCAAATTCAAGTTTTGCTTTTTAGAATTTTCTAAAAAACTCTTTCTGAATACCTTCCATCTGCAGTTGTTTAAAGCTTGCAGATATGGTGGGCCAACTGTAATGTCAACAGATATCAGATATTCTGATTACCTAAAATCATTTACTGACTGACTATTCAAACCAATAAGAGAAAAAGGTATCAATGTCACTGACACCAGATAAAGTCATATTAGGACCCATTTATGTGCTGGGAAAGGGAATACTATTTCAGGAACAAGTTATCATATGAACAACTTACGACACTATAAAAACTTTCACGCGTTCAATTCCACTGTAGAAACCCATGTTCAAATCCAGAAAAAACAAAAAAAAATTTGTAGTAAAAAACAATTTAAAACTGACAAACTACCAGTGAAATAAAACTTGACTATGTAACATGGGCTCATAATGATTAAACTACTACAAGGATTAAAAATGGTCAAAAGATTCTTAAATAGGTTATTAAATACTTAGATCCACACCTAAGTAGATACATTTTGGAAAACATACTGGGTATTTCTCTAATGTCTGGCTTTCAATTCTGAACACAGCTGACAAACACCCCCTTTCCAATTTCCAAATAGATTTTTAGATGCCTGAGAGTATTTTCAGGCTAATTTGCAAAGGGTAAAATGAAATATACTCATTTCACCTATGAATATTGTCAAAGCATTTTAAATGCTTAGTATTAATATTTCTTTACAAACATTAAGCAATGACATTTAAAACAAAAGTATTTTCCTTACAGGCTAATGCAGCCTAAATATCTCTACAGATTATCATTTAAAATTATTGCTAATTGAATTATACAACATGAAAACCAAAAGAGTATAAAATAAAATATAGCTTTAGGATGGTAATGAAAAGTCAGTGCTCTATTATATTCATCCCAATTGTAAACTGAACGGTTTGAAATTGAGGCCAAGGGGAAAGGGCAAGAGAGCTTTTCTTTAGTGTCCAAGACCTCATTTGTTCAGATTAACTTATTTTAAAACAAAAGGATTTAATAGTATAAATATATTTTATAAAAGTAACCTCATCGACCATGAATAGAAAAAAGACAAATCTAGGAGAGTGTTTTTTAACAAGATAACAAATGATTTAACGAAGACTAAAATATTAATAAGTGATTATCACATTTCTCTCCAGTGACAAATAATGAAGTCAATCTATTAAATGTAAACAGATGAAATTAATCTTGTGTGATGATAAAATACCACAACATATATTTTATTAAAAGACTAACCCATTTCATATATTTATTACCTGATTTTAGAGTGTTTTAATTCATATGAAACATAGAATTAGATCAAGAAGAGCTATGAACTCAACCACACCTTCTATTTTTTGTACTCTTGCAGCAAAAAACTCTGATTTTGAAAAAGTATGAAAAACTGTTACTCTTGACCTCAAAATCTCTTTCACAAAGGATCCAAATTATTTCTCTGTAGCAGAAACCAGTCTGCCGCTAACAATCAGTCCAGCAGGCAGCACTGTTTTCTAACTATCATGGTGCTTCAACATTATAAACAATCACTTTTGTGTAAAAAGACACATATCTCTGGACACTTCCAATTTAAGCCCAAGCTAAAAATATTTACATCATCAAAACTAAAAGCTTATAAAATGAATTTCAAGATATTTTAACATGCAAAAGCTGCAATTCAGTGAGGAATATGTGACAGCTATACCTCAGTCTTAAAAACAAGCCTCTCGGGCTTTCCCTGGTGGCGCAGTGGTTGAGAGTCCGCCTGCCGATGCAGGGAACACGGGTTCGTAACCCGGTCCGGGAAGATCCCACATGCTGCGGAGTGGCTGGGCCCATGAGCCATGGCCGCTGAGCCTGCGTGTCGGGAGCCTGTGCTCCGCAATGGGAGAGGCCACAACAGTGAGAGGCCCGCGTAAAGC